GAGCAGTGCCATTTGACCTCCAAACATGATGTGTATTCTGGATCCAAACAGTTCAATGTTGGTCTCATCTGACCAGACTATTTATCTAATTACTGAGAGAGTTCAGCTGGTGTCTTGGCTTTCCATGCCTTTTTACACCTCCCTTTCTTCATGTGTTCAATACTTTTCCCCTGTGTCATTCCACATTATTACAAATAACTTCATTTCTGGTCATTTATGGTTTGATTTCTTTGTATGTATGGATCACTTGGGTTGTTACCGACATCTGGTGAAATTTTTATGTCATTAGCACCTCTAGTAATATATTTACTGAGAAAAATGTAGACGTGTTCAATACTTATTTTACCCGCTGTATTTAATTTCCATCAACTAACATTGATAAGCATCAAGTGACTATTTATAGCAGCACCTTTTATGTAGTTTTTCAGATGACTAGTGAGTCTGTGATCCACTTACTTTTTAAAGCTGTATCATATTTATTGTTGTTTTGATTTCTTTCTGTATGCTGTGAGTTCTTCAGGTCCAAAACAGTATTTCTTGTGACCTCAGCTGAACAAAACTGTCTCATCAGCTCAGATTTGATTGTTTAACACTTTAGAGAGAGGAGAGGGGGTCCTGACTTCAACAGGAAGTGCAAGAGTCTAAGTGTGATGTAATGAAAGCATGAGTTGTTGACAGGAAGTCAGTGGGTAAAGATTTAAAGAAAACACAACACGGCCTGAGAACAGACACCTGTTTAAGTCAGACGTTCCAGAGAAAAGTCTTCGGTTATCAGAAAACAAATCATTTAGAAGCTAAAACTGGTAAACGTAAACACGATAAGGAAGATAAGTCTCAGAGGAAGTGCCGGCAGGACAATTGATAATCTTAACTTTTAGATTTTAACAGTAAAAAAACCAGAAAATATGTGGAAATATTAAATGCAATCAACAGAACTGAAGCGAATAATGGATCATGGAATAGTCCAAGTTAAACTAAAAAGTCAAACCTTTAAAGTTCATAAATGACTTTGTTTCAAACAATAATCTGACTCCTCTGGTTGTTTACCAGCAGACTGGTTCTGTCTGATGGCCCTGAACCCAGAGTGACCTGTAAACTCGTCCAGTTCAAATGTCACAAGGGAGTGTTCGAGAAAAGTCTTGCTTTGCTTTGCATCAGAGTTTGTTCTCTTTAATGATGACAATAATTAGACCAGTGTCTGTATTCCTGTGTGTCAATAATCTCCTCTGAAACTAATTAAAAATGAAAAGTAAAAGCATCATAAATTATTCAAAGACTGCCTGTTTACTGACTCTTAACATGAAGAAAACAATGTCACTGTGGGTAAAAAAAAAGTTAACAGTCAACCAACACAACTTTAAAGCAAAATGTTATTTTGTTTATGTTGTTTTAATGTAATAAAAAGAATCTTTAAGTGTTTTATTCATGTTTGGATGGCTGCAGTAAAGCTGCAACATTACTGCTTATAATTTATTTTGTTTTATACCAGGCTTCCCTGTGTACTTATTTTTAACTCCTAAACTTTGGTCAAAATATCATCTGTTCTTTATTATCCACAAAAATAGTTTACTCCAACACACCAGTGATCACATTAAAGTTTCATCTTTTTTTTTTTTTACTTTATATAAGCTGAAAGGTCATTTCTCAACACACTCTGGTCAAAATCCTTTTTCACCATGAAAGGTGAAAACATCATGTAATTAAAATTCATCCGTTGCTGACAGACGGACACGGCTGTGTTCAAATCGCCAAAGGGAAAATGAGAACCATTTAAATATTCTTTAACTTTATGACAATAACTGTTCCTGAGGAAGAAAAGAAAACCAATTTACATAACTGCAAGAAAATATGTATTAATATTTTGTATCTGCCTTGAACTAATCAAATTTTAAAGCTATCGCAGTCTGAAAAAAAATCTAAAAAATTTTTAATGACTTTTTAAAGAAAAGGTTGCTCCTTCGGGGTCTTTGATTTTTAATTTTTATTTGCAAAAATACCTTTTATGCTCCTAAATCTATGATCTTTGTATTCAGCATGATCACAAAAAAATATGATACTAATTTAAGAATCACAAATGACATTTTGTGTTTTTTGTGCCATTTTAAGGGTAGTTTTAGAGCAATTCTGTTCCCTACTTGATACATTTCACCAACTGATTAGCACTTACGCTACTTTACTTGTTGCTATCAGATCATAAATATATACCAGTATTTCACAAAGATACCAAAAATAATTGTGAATATATACTAGTATTTAACCCTCTGTGGTTAAATACTAGAATATATTCCAATAGCAGTGTTCAAATTTGTACCATGACTTTTTTGAGGACATTTTTACGTCCTTTTCTGCAGACCTCTTCGCAGAGAGGAGCCTCACCATTTGACTCCTCAAAACTCATGAAAAAAAACAATTTTGATGGGGTAAAAAAATCCATACTCAACATTACGTGAGTTAAGTTAACTTTTCTGTGGTTTATTGCACTGTGTTTGGTCACTTAATAATATTAAACTGGTAAAATGTGGATGTTGCCATACGGCAACACTGTACCATTAAGATTCCAGTTCTGTTGTTACATGTTGACGGTATGCACTGATCTTCTAGAATCTGCTATAATAATGCATTTTGTGAGCCATTATTTCCATATTGCATATGATTAAAAGTGGCACTCTTTTCTTCCATTTACAAAATGAATGCAACAATGTTTTATAGTTTCTTACAAAAGGAAACCAAACTAACATTTCCTGTAGGTAGTGAGGATGAATTAGGATTTGATGAAGAAAACAAGAAGCTTGCAACCCAGTAAGCTAAAGATAAAGGCAAGAGTGATGATGGAAACAGCCAGAATGATGAAGACTAAGAGCCAGCAAATGAGGACATTATAGGACAGTGGGGATGGCGAGGACAAGAGAAACAGCGGGGAGAGCGAGGACAAGAGAAACAGCGGGGAGAGCGAGGACAAGAGAAACAGTGGGGACAGTGAGGACAAGAGAAACAGTGGGGACAGTGAGGACAAGAGAAACAGTGGGGACAGCGAGGACAAGAGAAACAGCGGGGAGAGCGAGGACAAGAGAAACAGTGGGGACAGTGAGGACAAGAGAAACAGTGGGGAGAGCAAGGACAAGAGAAACAGTGGGGACAGTGAGGACAAGAGAAACAGTGGAGACAGCGAGGACAAGAGAAACAGTGGAGACAGCGAGGACAAGAGAAACAGTGGGGACAGCGAGGACAAGAAAAACAGTGGGGACATCGAGGACAAGAGAAACAGTGGGGAGAGCAAAGACAAGAGAAACAGTGGGGACGGCGAGGACAAGAGAAACAGCGGGGAGAGCGAGGACAAGAGAAACAGTGGGGACAGTGAGGACAAGAAAAACAGAGGGGACAGTGAGGACAAGAAAAACAGTGGAGACAGCGAGGACAAGAGAAACAGTGGAGACAGCGAGGGCAAGAGAAACAGTGGGGAGAGCAAGGACAAGAGAAACAGTGGGGACAGTGAGGACAAGAGAAACAGTGGAGAAAGCGAGGACAAGAGAAACAGTGGAGACAGCGAGGACAAGAGAAACAGTGGGGACAGCGAGGACAAGATAAGCAGTGGGGACAGCGAGGACAAGAGAAACAGTGGGGAGAGCAAGGACAAGAGAAACAGTGGGGACAGCGAGGACAAGAGAAACAGTGGAGACAGGGAGGACAAGAGAAACAGTGGAGACAGCGAGGACAAGAGAAACAGTGGGGACAGCGAGGGCAAGAGAAACAGTGGGGACAGCGAGGACAAGAGAAACAGTGGGGACAGCGAGGACAAGTGAAACAGTGGGGACAGCGAGGACAAGAGAAACAGTGGGGAGAGCAAGGACAAGAGAAACAGTGGGGACAGCGAGGACAAGAGAAACAGTGGGGACAGCGAGGACAAGAGAAACAGTGGGGATAGCGAGGACAAGAGAAACAGTGGAGACAGCGAGGACAAGAGAAACAGTGGGGACAGCGAGGACAAGAGAAACAGTGGGGACAGCGAGGACAAGAGAAACAGTGGGGACACGGGGGCGGTGAGGGTGAAAGTGCAGTTACAGTTCACAACTATTATTTATGTGTTGCATTAAATTAGCAGGTTTATAACATACTAATACTATGGCTGGGAAGAGAAGCAGAAAGACCACTGCACCAGTTTCACCAGCAGCTGTACATTGTGGGACAGCAATGGTCACTGGCCTGATGGCATGGCAAAAAAAGAGGCTGGTGCAAATCCCCAGGCTGCACAAGTATCGTCAGAGTGCAGTGCACAAAGTGTGAGAACTACCTGTTCCTCACAGCTGAGAGGAACTGTTTCATCAGTTCCTGCAAAGACAGTAGCATCAAGACAATTAGATCAAATGAAAATAATTATTC